AGCTAACACATTTGTATTATCTATCACACTCTATCAAAGGAAGTCCTGGAAACAATCATCAACAATATTCTTCACTTCTCTCATACTAGCAAATTTTGTAATGGTTTTACTCCACTTTCCTTTTGCTGTCACTGCATTAGCTGCTGGTGAGTGGATCTTTGGTAGTACAGATGAGGAGAAAACAGGAACATGTACATTTGCTGCTCTTACATTCTGGTATTCATCAATAGTTATAATATTGACACTAGCTGCTATATCATTTGATCGGTTTCTCTTTATTGTCAAACCACTTCTTCACAAGCGGTTCATGAGACCCTGGGTAGCACTGACCCTCACCATTGTTATATGGATACTGTCTGCTGTATTGAGTTGTACTCCATTCTATGGGCTTGGAAATTTTGGATTTACTGCTTCAATTGGATTGTGCATTCCACTTTTGGTCAAAGGTGGTTTTGTCATCTTAGCTTTTACAATCCTCATCCTTAGCTTGTTGATAATTGTCATCACTTCTCTTTGGACATTTTTCTTCACTTGGTGGTTTTTACGCAAGCGATCAATGGTAGTGGAAAGTAATATTTATTCATCCAAGAAAAGAGGTCTCTTGGGAATATTTGGATTTATGTTACTCGTCTATGGCATTTCTAAAGGTCCTAGAATTATTGCTTTAGTTTTGGTGCAGTTTGAGGTTCCCTTTAGTAGCACATCACAGATTGTGATTTACTTTGTTTATCAGTTGAGCATTATTGGTGACCCAATAGTCCAATCTTTCTTTAGACCTGGCTTGAAGCAAGCAATGGTATCTCTGTTTAAAAATTGCAAAAAGTGACCATCTTCTGCATGACTCTTTTGCTATTTTATAATTAAATAATTGTATTTCTAAATTTGAATATTTGTTGTAGTCATTTGACTTGTTATCTTATTCTTATTTCCTTTGTTACCTGACTCTGCCAATAAGTTTGTAGTACATTTATAAGGTTTTGTGTTCTCATAATTGCATTACTTCATTAACTGTTATCACAGCCTATTAAGAATGATAACTAATTAACCATGACATAATGATAATAATATTGATAATAATAATATCTGTTTCTTTTGTTTGTTTTTGTTTCTTGTATAAAATTATCTCATTTTTCCCTCAGTATTTTCTCTCTTTTAATTCTTGTTTTGAAATAATAATAATTACTAGAAGATTATAAAACATTAAGGGGCTCAGCCCCAGAGCCACGCTATTGTTGTGCTGTATGACCTTCCTTGCTGCTAGAGAAGTTTTTGGGTGGCATTTTAGTCTTAGTCTTATTTTCCTGACGGTTTGCTGCAAAAGAGCTGATAGCCGCCATTTTATTTCATTGTGACCACACCCGCTTTCAATGAAGATTAGGCTATTTAACTTTAATAATAGTTAGACTACCCGTACAGGCAGACAAATGCACTTCATCACTATAGGCTTCCCAATAATAATAACTAGATGAATGTAAAACATTAAAGGGGCGAACCTAAGCAAGCTATAGATTATGTGCTGTATGATCTACATGTATGAGCAAGCAAAGCAATTGCACAAGTCTAAACACAGTAGATCTTGTTGCAGTCTTCATGCTTAAATTTTCTCTATCACTTCTTCACATAAGAATCTCTACAGTAATTAAAGTTATCTTAGAAGCAGTCAGTGAACAAATCAAATTTGAAGATTATATATCTGCTTTGTTAACCTAGGCTTGCTGCTAGAGAAGAAACATCACCTAGAATAGATCACATTATGCTTTCAGCTAGCTACAGTACATCACAGTGCAGCTAGCTCGAGCTGGCTACAGTAGATTACATGCAGCTTTCTCACTTGCAAATTGCAATCCACTTATCATAGTCCTTTATATCAAGGAAAAGATTGTATATCTGCTTTCCCAACCTTTCTTCCTTCTAGAGAAGTTTTTAGACAGTAGTTTAGTCATATCTTGCTGACCGTTTGCTGCAAATAATCTCATAGTTGCTGATAGCACCATTTTATTTCATTGTGACCACACCTGCTTTCAATGAAGATTAGGCTATATAAACTTAATAATAGTTCGACAACCCTATCATCTTGCCCGTATATACAGACAGACGCTCTATCGTCTTAGTGGGGCTCGCTCAGGCTCACCCCAATAATAATAATAATAATAATGATGAAGCAAATGGTGTCAATAGTGATCGATTCCTTCAACACAGCTTTCTAATGGATCTCTTATTCTCAGCTGCTCAGTCTGCTGCCCTTTCCCATTGTAGGAAAGTCCTCCAGTCCCTTATCCCGGATTCCACTAGCCGCCCAGCCAGCATTTTCCTCCCCTTGTGGTCTTAGGGCTGTCCTATTGCTATAGATTTTACTGTTATCTCTCCCTTCTAAAAACAGACTATTGCTAATCCTGCATCTTCCTAGGGTTTCACTTTATTGGTGGCCAAACACCATAAACGGGTTGTCCATTTGGATAATTGCCATTGCACTGGGGTTGAGTTTGTTCCTCTTGCAGTTGAGTCTCAGGGTGGGTGGAGTTCCACGACCATTTCTATCTTCCGTGCCTTCGGTCACCATCTTGGGACTTGGTTTGGTCTCCCTCCAACTTCTTCAGAGGCTATCTGTGACTTTATGGTGGTCTAATGCCCAGATGTGGTTGGGTCGGTCTTCCATCTTGTCTCCTCAGGTAGATGGCCAATTGTAGGACATTTTTGTTTTGTTTATAATTATACAGGGGCGTACAACGCATATCTAGAAATTTAGAAAGGGTGGTGCTAAGGGCACATGAAGCGTGCCGCAATTTTAGCCACATCCCCTTTACGGCTGTAAAATGGCATTTTCCTTCATTTTCGTGAATTACGGGTGTGATCAAGATATTTTCAAGCATACTGGTACTTCTGATTGCTCCTTAATGCACTGGAAACTGCTGAAATCATGATCAGGGGACTAGATAACTTTGTTAAGAGGCTTGGTAGTGATGCAAGAGTCCAGTACTTCAGTAATTTTTCTGAGCCAAGCCATGAGGGGGGTGATCAAGCCCCCTAAGCCCTCCCTTGGATATGCCACTGAATTATAGTCTAATTATTAATCATTACTAGTAAAACATATTTGCTTACTCCAGCATTAATTTAATTGCAATGTGGGTTGGGATATTTTTGGATTAATCAATTTATATATCTACTCACCTTGGAGCTTGTTTGGAAGAAGAGGCACTGATAATGAGCAATTTTACCTATAATGGTGACTTCAGTAATGTTGCAGCAGGAGCAGCTCTTGCTGTAGAGGGAGTTTCTGGATTTCTAGCTAACACATTTGTATTATCTATCACACTCTATCAATGGAAGTCCTGGAAACAATCATCAACAATATTCTTCACTTCTCTCATACTAGCAAATTTTGTAATGGTTTTACTCCACTTTCCTTTTGCTGTCATTGCAATAGCTGCTGGTGAGTGGATCTTTGGTAGTACAGATGAGGAGAAGACAGGGACATGCACACTTGCTGCTTTGACATTCTGGTATTCATCACTGGTTTTAGTAATAACACTAGCTGCTATATCATTTGATCGGTTTCTCTTTATTGTCAAACCACATCTTCACAAGCGGTTCATGAGACCCTGGGTAGCACTGACCCTCACCATTGCTATATGGATACTGTCTGCTGTATTGGGTTCTACTCCATTCTATGGGCTTGGAGGTTTTGGTTTTAACACTTCTATTGGAATGTGCCTTCCATTTCTGATCAAGGATATCATTTTAGCTTTTTTAATCCTCATCATTAG